TGATGTTTACGTTAGCATTTTTACGATCCGTTCTGTATAATTTTTGGTAGAACGTTGAAATTTTGCACATAGTTACTACTCTTATGATGTGTGGTACCAATTCTATATTTTGGGATCTACCTACCAAAAATTATTAATATTGGCTTCGGGTTCTCTCCCTACTAAAAATTTAACATTATTGGTCTAAGTTACGGGATAGCCCCCATACAACCGTACATTTATTATTTTTGGTACGAATTAATTTGACATTCCGGGAATAAGTAAAAGGGTAAAGTGAGGGTCACTCTTGGTCCAAATGTGTCAGATAAGGCAGAGCTGATGTTGCATTTGTATTTAGCAAACGGATAGAGATAGAACTCTTAAATTTGAAATGAGGGTCACTGATGGGATGTAAAATAGATATAGCAAAGGGATAGAGCTAAAAACTTGACATTTTTAATGCGAACTAAGGATGAGAAACAGGGTTCAAAATTCATGCCATCAAAAATAAATTTCCTCTTATTTTTTACCGGTTAATTGCATTAGTATTGAAAAATAATCTGACATTTTTATAGACCCATGGTTCTTTTTGAGAATAAGCATAGAATCACTTTCTGAGTCGATTTATGCATGTCCGTCCGTCTGTTGATGCTAAATTGTATACAAAGTACAGGTCGCATTTTTATTCCGGCCCAAAGAAGAACCCTATTGAAATTGAGAAAAATCGGTTCAAATTTACATATATCTCCCATATATATTTTCGTCCGATTTTATGTAAATGGTGCACCGAAGTCCCTATATATTTTACGATTTTTACGAAATTTGGCATAGCATACTGATTTATGACTAGGATATTGTATGCTAAATCGGTTCAGATTTAGATATAGCTCCCATATCTAATTTCGTCCGATTTTAGATAAAAGGTGCACCAAAGCCCCTATATATTTTCCGACTTGCAGGAAATTTTGCATATCGTACTGAATTAAGTCTAGCATGACTTGTTTTAAGTTTCGTGAAAATCGGTTCAGATCTAGATATAGCTCCCATTGTTTTGAAATGGTGAAGTGTATCATATAGTCGGTCCAGTCCAACTGTATTAATTTCCTTACTGGTTTTACATACATATTTGACATCATTTATGAAAAACACTACTAATTGAAAGCATATGTTTATTCCTAAGGAAAAAAACGGGAGAAAGCGTAAGTGTTTAATTTGTATTTAACAATAACATTAGAAATTAATTTCGCCCAATTATGCGTGATTTCTGTAATTGAACAAACAGTTCAATTAAGCGGGTATCGGATAATTGGTTCCTCGGTTAATTGAATAAAAAATTGTGCAAATGTTGATGTGCAATTAACCGAAAAATACTGTATATTTGGTAGAATTTGAATTTGGAGAAACGGATGGAGCTGGAATCCTAAAATTTCAAATTAACATTACCGCAGGAGTGTAAGATACGTGTACGAAAAGTACTAAATGGTACTATATTTAGTACAATTTGGATTTGGGTGAACCGATAGAGCTGGAAGACTTGTTTGAGTAGTTTCGGAAATGTGTACTTTGGGTACTAAATTTGATACAATTTGGATTAGAGCTGGAATAGTAAAAATTTCAAATTAATATTTCTGTAGGTGTGCAGAGTTGAGGCATGTAGGTAGTTTTGTGAATTCGTACTTCTGTGTACTAAATAGTACTACATTTAGTACAATTTGAATTTTGAGAGAACTGATAGAGCTAGAATACTGAAATTTTATGTTAGGATTCCTATTGGGGTGTAGGATTGGCATATGTAGGTAGTTTTGGAAATTTGTTGTTATGCATACGAAAAGTACCAAATTTGGTACAATTTGGATTTAGGGTAAGTAAACCCATAAGTCTGAAATCTTTAATTTGGGAAATAAAATCTCTATTGGATTATATGATGTAGGTAGAAATGGTAATTTGTACTTATGTGTACTAAATGGTACTAAATTTTAAACAATTTGGAATGCGGAGATCCGATAGAGATGGAATCCCGAAATTTGGAATTAAAATATGGGAAGTTTCGAATATTCGTACTTATGATTGTTAAGGTTATGGAAACTTGTATTAATGTATACTAACTGGAAATTAATTTGGATTTTGAAGAAGCTATTATTTAATTTTGGAAATAAGTATTAATACAAATTATCACAGAACATTTTCAGTATAAGTCCATGTTTCTATATAGTTCCCATAACAAGGTCGTTTTCTGTATGTTCAAGGTGCACCCACATTAAAGTAGCGACTGATTTGATGTATAATCAAAGTATATGATGAGTATAAATTGTTCGGGCAGGCGGAACTTTAAAACGTTTTATATATATCCAACCATTTTCGAAGCATCTCAATTTCGAAAATAAAAAACAGCATTTTTGCCGAATGTTGATGTAATTTCGATAAAAATGCAAATTGTGGTCTAAGCGGCGAAGAGTATAAAGTCCGGCCGCAAAAAGATCATGATATGATTTTTAATGGCGAAGGAGGTTCCTGTAACAAAGAGGGACGAAAGTCACCTGGCAAGTGTCTCTGAAATCAACTGGGCAGGATGGCTCAAGTAATCAACCGGAGATTTCAGATAGTCGATGAGAGAGATTCAAAAACTTAACGAACAAATTCGAAATCAATGTATTGATCGGTTTACCCTACACATAAAGTTAAATGTTCATTCGGAAATTAGTTATAATTTTGCTTCTTGGGGAGAGTTGTAGACTGGATTACATATCGGTCGGACGAGATACCGTTCAGGATTGTTGGACAATACAATGATGATGATGAAAAAGCTGAAAATCGCACTTCTAATGAGTAACTTGAGAGTCTTAGACACTTTGTCGAAGAATGACAGTCCTCTCATTAGGTTTGCCACCGATAAGGCAATATTCTTCGTCCTACATATCTGCCTACCACCGAAGACGTTTAAGATAGTAACCAGCAAACTAAAATTAGAGTTTATAGACACTCCTCAAATATGTATATCAAGAGTCTCAGTTATATCGACATCACCTCCGTATGTCACTAATAGTTACTTGTAGCAACAACTAATAGTTACCTCTGTGTATTTACCTTACGAAGTCCCGAAACGACTACTTGTGAGAGAGTAAACCTGGTCTGCGATGCCAATGTCTACCATTTGTACTTGGAGAGTAGCGATACTAGTGCCAAAGTTGACTCCATATTCACATCTTCTATTTGAAAATGGAGTGCTTCTAATATAGGCGTTTCTTTTCGAATAACACGGTGAAATTTTTGAGATTCAAGCGGCCGCCGATGAGGTATTCTTCATATATTCATTTTTCTAGTTTGAGCTTCCTTACGAATCGTTAATCTTTAATCTTTTTAAGAGAGTTGTTGACTGGCTGCCATATCGGCAGACAAAATTTTGTGCGGTAAAATTGGAGAATGCTAATTTTTTTTGGAAATATAATGTCAAATGAAGAATGGTCTTATGTTTAAGTTTGTCGAAGTCATCTGTGCCTACCACCGGAGAAGCTGAATGTAGTTATCAGTAAACGATTAAAATTGCGCGGAGCCAAACTTCCAATATCGATATCGATTCAGTTAAATCGACATCAACATCGTAAGTCTAGACACAGGATATCAGAAGCCAATGTCTATTCACTAGAACCCCGGTTATAGAACCCCGCTGTAATCTGAAAAGTAGTCCTGTAACGACAATGTCCACAATTTCTGCTTCTACATTAAAAAGTGAGAGTTATGCCGTTTTGTATAAGTTTCCGGTTATAGCCAGGTTATTATTTACTGGAAAAGCCAAGTCTATACCATAGGAGTTTTTTTATCACTGTATGATTTTTTAAAGTACTCTTCAAATATCGATTTAATCCAAGAGTCTGTTTACTAACCAGAGGTCGCTCTATGTTTACAACTGGAGAGTATCGGAAAGGTGTTCCTTTTTGGATCGAAGGATGATATTTTTATGTTTCCTAATAACGAAGTCAAAATTATTATTTTCGAAAAAATCAACAGCATCTGAATAAATTGGTCAGTATGACCTGCAAATTGTTGGAATGTGGTAGCGATTGCGGTACTAAAGTCGCGAGCTAAACATTCAGTAGCGGTTCATGACTGTAGAGCAGTGTTGTGCGAGAGCTAAACATTCATTAAAAACGCGGTTGTGTTTACCCATCGACACTCAGTTACGGTAGCGTATATGGGTAAGCATGCCTGCTGTATATACACCCGTTCGATACAAAACGAAATATTTGATGAGTTTGCTCGATGGGGCCAATCAATTGTTAAGTCTGTACAAACACCTCTTGGCTATTATATGGGCAGAGACCTTAAGATGTCCTGCAAGAGTACCGGTATTACATATGATTTGAGTTATCTGTATGTAGAATTACTAAATCGTTTTGATCGATTATTTCACGTCGTAGATCTAGTGTAAGAATCTCAACTGGTACCAGCACCATTAGCTCAATTATTTCCAAATAGGATGTTAGAGGGGTCGTTCAGTAAAAAATACATCTAACATTTATCTTCAAAAAATATCTCATTATTGTTCATAGCTCTGCCAAAAAGCTATCCTGTCGAGGCTATAACACCTATTATCAATATTTCCTCTAAGAATATAATTAAAAAGACGTTTCAAACCGTTAGTTTCTTTATTTTATTTTTCTAAATTTCACAAAATTATCATGTAAATGCTATTCCTATATTTTTTTAGTCGATTGTTACAAAAATTTACCTTATAGTTACCATCGTTTACATGTTATATATGCAAATGTGAATATGCTATAAAATATAACAATTATACCAAAATTTATTCATTACCAAAAATGTACGCCTTCTTGGCGATTTGACAAATTTTTTCGATTTTCTTCTTTTTCTTATTCGATACAAAATCACGTTAAAAACCGTTCAAATCCAAATGATTTTTATTAACGGCCATCCAAGAGGATAACGTTTTCTATTCCCTTCGATGATGTCAAAAGGAATAGTTACCAAAAAACAAAGTAGTTAACCAATTGCAACCAATTGATTTAGGCCAATTTAGAGTTTTACGAAGATTCCGACGAAGACGTATCCGAAGAATCACTGCTGGAGGAGGAAGTGGAGTCACGTCTGCGTCTTTTCGATTTGGACTTCTTTTCATTGATAACTTCGTAGCTAGGCAATGTGGAGTTGCTGGAATCACTGGAGCTGCTGGAACTGTGCGATTCCTCAATAACGGCATCCACTCGTTTCGATTTCCTTAAAATAAAATACAATAAAATGGATTAATGTTTATATGAAAATGTTTATATGAAATTCATACTTCTTTTCTGCTTTTTCGGATTTTTTACTATGCTTGGACTTGCGTGCCTCCACAACATCACTACTGCACGGAGATTTACTGCGTTCCCGTTTGCTCTTCTTACCCTTTTTGTCTTTATGTCGAGTTCCCTTCTCAGGATCACCTTTGGTGGAATAAAGATTTTGTGAACTGGCTGTCGAATAGCCGGTATCTTTACGCTTACGTTTTTTGCTTCTGTAAATAAGAGATTTAATACATAACTTCTTCAATTTAAGCAAATAATTTCAAGCTTACTTTTCTTTTTTGGCTTTCTTCTTATAGACAACCTCGTCGTCGGAATATTCTTTGGCTCTGAAATGAAATAGATTCAAAATATATTATACGGGAGATAAAACAAAATCAAGGTCCAGCTCCAATGTTCATACGCGTCGTAATGTAGCAACAAAGGTCCGATCTAAAACAACACAGAAACTCGACATCTAAAAGCTACAAACACAACACCTAACAGAAGTCTAGTCCGCTCAACATACACACCTACTTGACTAAAGTTCTTCTTGTCCCGATAATATAAAAGCACAATGGAAAAGAATAGCCCACTTCCCACAAACTTCAGCAAAATTAACACTTGGGTACCACAGACCACCATCAAGATCAGGAGTTTCGTAATGGCACTGTGGTGAAAAACGCCGTAAATTTTAGGAACAAGTAAAACACTAAACTGTAGGCCCATTCTCCTGAAGATATGAAGAAGAAAACCTCTTGACAGATAGCGTGTTGAAGATCTGGATGGAGTATTTCGCAAAGCTCTTGGTATTAAATAGTGGGGGTAAAGAAGATACCCCGAACCAATTAGATATTACGGTATAGAGTACATACCACCTAGCCAAGATGAGGCCAGAATCAATAGACTGAAAAATAATAAAGCATCCGATGTGTTACCAGCCGAACTATTCAAGACCGGTGGTCAGATGCTGATCAGGAGCATGGAACCAACTGATTAGTATAATTCTGCTAGAGGAATTCATGCCCAATGAACCTCAGCATCCTGTTTCCCGTGCACCAAAAAGGAGGCAAGCCGATAGGTTCCAACTATAGAAGAATTAGTCTCCTTCCTATATTATATAAAGTGCTATCCAGCGTGCTGAACCCAATGACATTATTGGACCGTACCAATGCGGCTTCAGACATAGCAAATTCACCATAGAGCAGATTTCCAAACTTCCCCTAACTCCTGGAAAAGACCCACGGCTATGCAGGATAACTTTAACTGGCACAAGGTCAACAGTTAAAGTCGGAAACGACCTTTTGGAGCCCTTCAATACTGAACTCTCGTTCGGTATTGACAAGGTGACAGTTTGCCGTGTGACCTGTTTAACATCCTCCTGTAAAAGGCAGCTATATCGATATAATGGGTCGAACATTGCGAGCGGTAACAGCCATCTTTGAACGAATTGAGAAGGAATCTGCCAAAGTGGGACTAGCAGTAAACGGCGAGAAGACCAAGCTTACTCGGACCAACTGTGGAACTTGAAAACAAAAGCTTCGAGGTAGTGAATGATTTTATATAACTTGGTACCGCCAAAGGCAAAACTAATAAATCCGGAGAAGGATAGTGTTGGCCAACAGATGCTACTATGGTCTGAGTAAGGAACTCAAGGAAAAGGCCACCTCTCTCCAGATCAAACTCACACTCTGCAAGACGCTGATACTACCCGTTCTGTTGTATGAATCTGAAGCATGGGGTAGATCTATGGATCGATCTTCGTCGACGGTGAGTATCGCCGTCGAATGAACCATGAGCTGTACCATATATTCTCAGACATCGTTGGCTAGGTCATGTTGTGAGAATGAATGAGGATGCCCTAACTCAAAAGGCATATAAAAGCGAGCCAGCTAAAGGTTCACACAGAAGGGAAAGGCCACGAATCCGATGGAAAGATCAAGTGGAAGACAACATATCGGAAAATGGTCTTTCAAATTGGATAACACGCCTTGAAATCTTTTTTAAGCTCGGCTTATGGAACAAACGTTCTGTCACAAGCCAGGTAAGTCCTTGACGAATTCCAACAGCTGCTGAGCGATGTCCAGGTGATAATGTGTTTGCTCAACAAGTCTGAGGCCAAATTGATATGATGTCATAGACCATTGACGTTCGTCCTTCCACTATAAAGCCGCATCCGTTCAAAGGTGCTTAAAGCCATTTCTGCGTTCGGCATTCCTGCAACATTATACGGCTATGCAGCATAATTACAACTGGCACAAGGTCAGCAAAGTCGAAACCTCTCGGAACTCTCCAATACCGTGATCTCTTTAAAATTCAGATGCTACTGTAGTCTAATTAAGCAATTTAGAAACAAGGCCTCCTCTCGCCAGACCAAACTGACACTGGTACTACCCTGAAGCTTGTAACGCAACTCTTGGAATGTTTGAGACAAAAAAATAACCTAAAGATCCTAACGACACTGTAATCGAAGAAAAAAGTGAGCAAAAATTTCACATTTGACTGAACATGTTTCGATCGATTTCCGGTCTTGTATCTTCTGAACGTTTCCATTTAGGCGATTGGGTTTTGGTTTCAAAGTCATATCCATACAACCATGATTCGTCATAACATTTTTGAGGTAATATGGATCGTTGGTGATGTTCAACAATCTGTCTGTGATTCAACGTGAATCAATATTTTCATCGGATGTTGACGCTCCGTTGTTGCTCCGGCGACCAGGACGAGTAACGTAATTGACATCTACTCGGCCTTTCTTACACCGGTTTGAACTTGTGTCCAAATAAATGTGATCTGTACTACGTTTACAATAATCCACGGACGGACAGACTAATCGAATCGAGACATGGAGTATAATAATACCAAAATCGAACATATATACATTATCACGAAATTTGCGAATATATAGTCCTGTCAATCTGTCCGGCGCCATTTACGAAAAATCTGACGAAATTATATTTGGTTTCTATATCTAAATCTGAATCGATTAAAAGCCATTCTAGACATTCTAGGCCTCTCCTTAGGCCAAAAATTGGGCTTTGTCAAAGATTCATCTCAATTGGGTAATAACTGGGATCTGTAACATATTTATCGAAATACGTGAACTGATAGACATGCTTAATTACATCGATTCTTGGGAAAGTGATTCTATGTGTATATATTTTTCAAAGTGTTCCCCACTGAAAGTACCTTCTTTATACACATCTGGAAGCCCTTGAAATTTATGATAAACTTTCTTATTAATTATGTAGTAGGTATATTTGTCAATATATGATTCTGGCCAATAGAAATACAAAAAAAAATCAATTAACATACAGACCTCTTGATTTTCCGCTTCATTTCACTGCCACGTTCCGAAGAAATCATATAAATGCCGTTGGGATCGTCATCATTGCGTCTCTTCGACTTGTATTGGCGCTGTCTAGCAGCTGCTTTCATTTCACGGCGATTCTTCCAAAATTCCGCATTAACAACATACAGACGATATAATTGTAGGACAATGACCAACGAGTTCTTGCCTACAACGTTATAGTTGGCAATTTATTTTCTACATTCGAATCAAGAAATATCCCATTAACATATCATACTTACATGTAAAGAATACATTCATATAGCTAATAATGTCATATTGGAAAATAATGAGCAAACGAAACGTTAGAAAGGGGGCATCCTGGAGTATAACGTTCAATACAATGCCCCAGACATCGATGCCACAACAGCAATTATTACAACAATCTGTTGGCGGTCTTAAATAAAAAAGCACACACACACAATTATTTAATTATTTGCTATCCTCTGCGGACATAAATCGCTACACTTACTCATCCTTTTTATTAGAACCTCCACCACGAGGCCTGCGAGCTCTGGTGGCTGATAAAACTATTGTAAATTGCAATAGACTCCATGACCATATACCCAAAGTCAAGTAAACCAACAGCGGTATTTTCGCTATGGAATCATCTTTGTAGGAATCAAAAAATTCAATAATATCGGCAGCAGTACCTGTAAATTACATATATTGTATGTATCAATACCTAATCGTGTAGAGGTATTTTTTATGTTACCCACCTATATAAACCAATAACAATTGACTTAATTGATCTCTGGTTAGATCCCCCTTGGGCAACATCCATCGACCCACAATTAAAATCAACATTAAAAATTGTTCGATTAATGTTATCCATGTGTCTTCGTTGACTTTCGGCACACCCAGAGCTTCGGTTATAATAACATTTGTCGTTGAGTTGCCTTCAATACTTTTGCCCGACAAACGTCGTTCCACTTTGTGGAACTCCAGCAGCCAAATAGCTGGAACAATACTTCCCAAATAAAGGAAAACGGATGGGCAAAACCTGCAATAAAGAGCATAGGGTTATAATGTACGATCATTGACAAAGGCGAAAATGCAAGCCAAGCGGCTAAAATAGTGAATGGTGTTTATGGTTCCGATACTGTAACAGCAAATTATGTGCAATTTTGGTTTCGCAGATTCCGTTCAGGATGTTAGAGATGCACCTCGCACAGGCCGGTCGTCGAAAATGTCGATAAAATCGGAGAAATCATTGAAGTTGACCGGAATGTTAGCAGTCGTAACATCGCCCAGGAGCTAAAAACCGACAATAAAACTTTTTTAAACCATTTACAATTGACCAGAAGCGGCCATAAGTTGCCAACAGGAGAGGTGTAGTTTTCCACGAGGACAACGCTAGGCCACACACATCTACAGTGACTCGCCAGAAACTTCGGGAGCCTGGTTGGGAAGTTTTAATGCATCCGCCATACAGTCCGGACTTGGCACCAAGCGATTATCATCTTTTTCTTGCATAGCAAAAATTTATTTAATGTTAAAAAATTGATATCTAGTGAGGATTGTGAAAATCGACTATTAAATTCTTTTGCAAATAGAGAGCAGGACTTCTATGAGAGAGGCATTATGAAGTTACCTTTAAAATGGCAACAAATCATACAGCAAAATGGTGCATATTTGGCCCAAATCGAACATTCCGCTCTGCAGAAACAAAATACAAATGGTATCCCATATAACCAGCCAATACTACCGTAATTATATGATTTCTTTAAAATCTTTAATTAAAATTTTATAATTATCGAGGTACCAATTTAAGGAGGCAAGTAATTATTCAATTATTTTGAAACTTTTCTTACCACATTTTCTTTGATATTCACACATTATAGGTCCATAAAATGTTCCCATCTTTGTGCAAAGTTTGAATGAAATCGATTATTCCCTTCATGGGGTCTAAAACCAATATTTGGGTGAGAATGTGTTGAAACCAACAAGTTTTTTTTTTGTCTTCTTTCCTGATTTGTGGCGAAACTACACAACGCACGCACATGTGATCAGTGACTAAGTTGAAGAATACCCCATGGACAATATGGTTCTAATGTATAATTTTTTGATATAATCACTGCATGCACCCAAAACGGATGCTGACATTGTGAAGTCGAATTTTGGGTATTTTTTTAATTTCTCTTATAATCAGGAAGCGCAACCAGATAATGGACTAAACTTATTCTAGGATTGTAGAACTCGTGATTTTGCTACGTTTTTTATATGTCTCTAATGAGTTCAGCCATGTTCAATTCCGCCTCAAAAATACGGCGGATATAGGTACCTTGAAGAACTGCAAAAACTAATTTTGATTAATTCCCGTATTGTGTATTTTCATAGGATATTACTGAAATCTAATGCGCATAAAAATCATATGCACGATGGGCAATTTTTAGCCATTTTTTGGGGTTTTTGCATAGTAAAGTTCATCGAGCGGCACACTTTTGCCGCTAAATGAAACCTTAAAAAATTCATAATTATTGGAAGAGATTGATTCGGTTTATACAAAACCGCATGCGCATCTACTGATTTCAATGAATACGCGAACTGCTTGCTTTTAAATGTTGATCATTTTATATACTGTAACTGCAGTATATTTGGTCATTTTTAATGTCGAAACTCTTAATTAATCGATTTTTAATATTTTATCCACAATCTATGCTCTTCTTTACTCTTTTAATGTTGTTTGTCATATTCTCCACCAATTTTTTATGATATTATCTGGGATTTTGTTGCAATCCACCTATGTTTGTCGAAATGTGGAGAAATCTAGTGGAATTACAAATTTTCATTGTTGGATCATTAATCCCAAAATCAAAAAAAAAAAAAATACAATAGAAGCTTCTTTGTCATAATATGTTCTATACGTTTTGAAATGTCTTTAATTCTCGATATAAAGTCCTGAGTCCTCATCATCGCGTTTTTGTGGTATTCCGTTTTTCCGTTCGTGGACGGTAAAGCATGAGAAAGAAGGAGAAAATGTGTTTACCAATCGACCCTCAGTAACGGTAGCCTATATGGGCAAGCATGCCTGGTTTAAATTTTTTGATTAAATGACGTTGACACTACTATTACTGACAACAACAAATTTCCCTGTGCTTATTGTACTTGCTGTTACCTTATATTGTTATACCATACCTATACGTTGTCAGAGATTACTTAAAAAATGTATGTAGAAATTTTGAGAATTCTAATGGAATTCAAAAATTCCTGGGTCACCGCGATCGAACTCGGTGACCCGTGTTTTGAATTTTTTTTAATAAAGTAGTTTGATATGCCCACTGTAAATCGAAAACAAATTAACCGCGGATTTTTATTCAAAGCCTGGGCAAAATTTCTTCATATTTGTACCCTCTTGTCCGATTAGAGTTCAACAGCACCTCTTCCTTACACTGACATATTTTCCGAAAATTACTAATATTCAGTACAGTCCTTCTAATTACTTGTCCAGATTCCCTTGACCGTGGGTTGTGTTGTGATGTTCGGTTTATATAGATCGACTCGAAAAAAAAAACAAACAAAAAACGTTTTCGGTGTACTTCATCCCAAATTGTTATCTGATCATCACCGAAAATTATATACGCCATAGAATACAAATTTTGTCATTTCTCACACAAAAGTCAGGGTCAATTTGACCCGCTAAATATTGGCCGATCTTTATCAAAATAGGTATGCTTATTCTTTGGCTCAATCCCCTTCTCCACGTAAAAATTCGAAATGTTTGGGCCATAATTGCGGCCTCTGGAGCGACCAGAAAATCTGACAAAAATTAAGTATTTGGTCCATTTCATCCCCTCAATATTATCCGATCTTTACCAAAAAGAATAGGGGATTCACTAGGCCGAACCCATCCTACATGCATAATTTCGTGAAAATTGGTCCATAACTGTGGCCTGTATCGTGTTTACAAAATATAATGGACAGACGGACGGACGGACACACATGTCTAGATCGACTCAGCTAGTCGAGATATGACGATGGGTATACTTAAAGGTGGGTCTAAGACCAATATTTCGGGGCGTTACAAACTTTTGGGGCTGCACAAAGCTATAATACCCTGACAACATAGTTGTGTAGGGTATAATAAAATAAATTAATTTTTTAATTAAGACAAAACGTTTATTTGAATTTTCGATTTTTTAATATGGACAAGGTAATACGGGTTTGCCTTAATCTTCTAAAATATATATATTCTTTGGCAAATTCTTTTGGGTGATTTTTAAATATCGGTAGATTCATCAAATAAGAGTTTCGACGTTAAAAATTTTTAAATTACAATACAAAAAAACAATTACAATACATAAAAATGATCAATATTAAAAAGCATGCAATTCGCGTATTCGTGGAAATCAGTTGTTGCGCATGCGGTTTTCGTATAAACCGAATCAATCTCTTCCAATAATTATGAATTTTTCGATGTTTCATTTCACGGCCAATGTGTGCCGCTCGATGCACTTTACTATGCAAAAACCATAAAAATGACTGTAAATATCGCAACGTGCATATAATTTTTATGCGCATCCGATTTCAGTAATCTCCAATGAAAATACACAAAGATACACCTATTTTAAAAGAATTGGTTAACAACCGCGGATGTGCCGCCACAATCAATTTTGGATAAAATGCGCATTTTATTCGCGTATCGATGTATATATGACCTATTTTCACACAGATTCGCGAAAATTATAATGCAAGCATGAATATAGGTAAAAACAATTCGCAGAAAAACGCGATTCTATAAGCGAATTAGTCAAAATGAGTTTTTGCAATTTTTCTCACATTCAAGGTACCTATATCCGCCGTTTTATTGGACGGAATCGAACATTAGATTCGGCACGTAAAAAAACTAAAATCACGCGGGGTTCAACGGCATTTGAGTGGACTTTCTTAAATTAAGACTCAAACAAGGTTTTTTATAAAAATTTACGCACCAAATTTTCGTCTTGGAATCTAATTGCAAAGAAGCTACGATGGGCACATTCATGAGATATACATTAAACGAAGCAAAATCACGAGTTCTACAATCCTGTAATCACTTCAGCCCATTATCTGGATGCGCGTCCTGATTATAACAAAAATTCAAAAAACACTGAAAATCCGGCTTCAAAATGTCAGCATCTTTTTTTTGGTGGATGCATTGATTATATCGAAAAGTAATACATTAAAAGCATATTGTCTATGGGGTATTCTGCAACTTAGTCACTGATCACATGTGCGTGCGTTGTGTAGTTTAGCCACAAATCAGGAAGGAACACAAAAAAACTCGTTGGCTTCAACACATTTTCACCTATTTTTTTATATTACAGCAATCACAGCTTCCACCCAACTTATTATTTATTACCAATATTTGAAGATTTTGACAAGAACACTTCATTTTATAGAAATGAATTTAAATTATATGCAATATGTTCATATTTCGCGAGTTATAAATTTGCAAACCCCAGTTTCAAGGAATTTCAAAAATTTTTGTAATTTCCCATATCTGTGTATATGATTAATTAAGAAACTAATTACAAAATATAATTTTTTTGAACAGTCAAAGTGTTGGTTGTATCAAAAAAAAAATGGAAAAATGTTTGCACTAAATCCACAAACTATTTTGAAGTTTCTCACTTAGGTTGGGTTGAAAAGAGGAGCGGATAATACACCACCAACAAAATGAAGACCATACATTTACTCCAGTTGCGGTCTGTTGTGCGCTCTATAAATGAAAAAGTTAGTATTAGGGAAATTTTGGTTAAGCATCTTGGGTTTGATCCCCTATGATTCTAGGAATGCTGTGTTTTTTGAGAATTTATTCAGTTCTCTCCATTCACACCCCCTCAGATTGGTTAGTCCGTGAATAGTGTCCTATCCCAGGAATTGTTTTCGAAGACATGAGGTGGACAGTGGCACAGGAAATGTTCCAGCGTTTCACTTTCTTCCCCACACGCTCTGCACCTGCTGCTATTCTCGCATCCAATCTTGAGTAGATATGCCTTCGGGCAGAGGTGTGCGTAAGAATTCCCGTCAGTTTGCTTATTTCTTTTTTGTTCAGCGTTAGGATTTACTTAGTTTTGTCTTGATTTGGGTCACCCTAAAAAAAATTTGTGATCTTTCCTGTCCCCTCATTATCCCAAAGAGTTTTGTGGTTCTCGTTCGCCCACGCCTCATTTTTTTGCGTGTTTCGGCAGTACTCAAATCTATTGTGGGTAGTGCAGTGACACTTTGCTATCTCGTTGCTTGTTACTCCTGTGTGACTGGGTACCCATATAATTCGTAGAGGTCCTTATTGTGAGAAGTTTCTCACTAAAGGACAGTGTTTTTATGAGTATAATAACCCCACAATTCTCTCACAAAACTCGTAGATTTTAATTATGCGGAGGATATATGTCTTCTCTCACACAAGATATCCAACATTCATACAATACAACAACTTCTAAATTAGAGGCCCTGGAACCAAGCTTAAAATTCTACTTGAAGCGATGAAATCTGGCTTGTGTCTAACACTATCACGGTTATTCATAAACGAATACCTCACGGTCATATACAGAATATTCTGGCCCAACACTATTCTGGACCCATACAAACAAGTAACAGAAAAAAATTCCATTTCGCCATAACTCAAAAACTTGGCCTATGAAGAATTTGAGCAGAAACAACATCGCATGGACATCGGTTGTAACTGTAAGCGAATTGTGGGTGTATGGCTACGCCATTTCTGTAAAATGAGTTGGTTTTTTATTCACTGTTTTCTTCGACTGCAATAGCGTTGGCTATACCGAAGAAGGTCTATCGAAATTTTTTCGAGGATTGGAAAAAAGCGGGCATAAATGCATTATATCTTAGAGGATTACTTTAAATAGTGTCACATTTATGAATAATTCAAATAACAGTTATTTGAAAATATGATAAAGGATTTAAGGAAATCCCTTCGTTAATAATTCGAACCACTGCTAAGTGTTTTTACTATCGTCATAAGCTTTAACATTTTGGAGTTCCCAATTGGTTCAAGATTTTAGTGACTGATGTGTCCGGTAATCTCTCATTAGCTATAAGACTGAGCATATAACATTCATTTTCCAAGGAAGTTTAACAAAAAACGACTAATAAATTCAGTTTTGTTAGAAAGTATATCTATGGGGTTTAATTAGTACTGAAATCGGGTGTTTCCTGATAGATATATCAAAAACAGCCTATAACGTGGCTTTCAAGTATATAGCTTTTTTTCATTATATATTGATATACTTGCAAACAGCAGCCAGCATTTTTTTATGATCCAAGCTTTTTTAAACAATCGTATGATGCTTCAAATTTATCGCTCTTTACTGCAATAAAAATTCTCGTCTCCAGATGTCAGATGAATAATTAATTAGTAAAAAAATTTCAAATTAATTAGTATAAAACACTTGTCCGCAACCAATGACCCAATTTTACAATAGTTTTACTACATCTTACATGTATTGGCGTGATCCTTGAATGAAGAACATAAACACAACTTATTACCTGTCTGGCTCAATGAAAATTCTGCAAACATCAGACTACATAAGGCTGAGTTTATTTACAAACAATGAAGAAATCACACCAACACATCAAAAATCATGGCAATACAAACAAATAAACGATGGAACGAACGGACAATGGACACTAATCGCCAAAACACTAAATATTTTGTGACCCGGGAAATGGGAAAAGCGATTTAGTGGAAAGAACGGACATCATCAGTATCGACAGCGAGAGAGGGCGCATTTGTTCCATTAAAACGGGACGACGTCGTCGTCGAAAACAACAAGAAAAACAAAGGTGTGTACCGTTGTCGAAATCCCAAAAAGAGTGGGAGTAGGACATTGAAAAGTTATGCGATTTAAGGTTTTAATTGAAAATCAAAGGAAAATCCATGAATGAAATAAAAACGACTGTTAGTGGAAAATGACGTCAACCAGTTGTTTACTTTGAGAAAAAATCCATTGTAAAGAAAAATCTAATGAACTAAAATTCGAAAATAACAATAAATATATTAAACATTTTGAAAATAATTTAAAATATGATTTACCATCTCCATTCTTGTGTTTTCTTTATAAATATTGTAAAGATTCCTTCGAAGAGAAGCAGCAGCAGTGGACAACTAAGACTCCAGTACATCATATCATCTTTGTTCTTCACGACCTGCCAAATGGCAATAATACTGTGGGCACTGAAAATTATACGCGTCAGCGTTGCCTTAATCGTTGATATAATTTTGGCCATCTTGTGTCGATTTGGTTTTAAATTTTATAAAAAAAAGAGAAATTCACTTGTATTCAATTCATTTTCTTGTAATTTAATTTTTCAAAAAATATTTTTTGAGTCACCACCACCGCCGCCAGAGTTACGAAATAGTTCACCGTTTAAACGAACTTTACCGTTAGAATCACAAACCGCAACTGACTGCAAAGTCTAATCGTTCAATTAATTTTCGCTAAAAGGATCTCTCCTGGAAAGTTTAACGCTTAAAAATGTTGTACGTTACAGTGTTGTGTAAAAAAGTGGTGGTTCGATGAAAACCGGGTTTTGTTGGAAAGCACGGCGATTGTATCACTAGTACTGGGCAACGGCGCGTGTTTTTTTATCTGGGTAGCTCTAGAATACATAAAAGCATAGAGATGAGATAAAAACGTCGTTAAGTTCGCCATGGATGATTTTACACTCCATCTTTCGCGGCCCTTATAAATGGCGCCCAATGATTGCAATTTTTTGGTAATAAGATTAGACATCCAGTGAGTACAAATTTGGCGCAATTTAGCTAAAAACTAAAAACAAAATACGGAATAATGGGGGTAATATTATATGGGGACTGTCGAAAAGTAGACCAATATCAATAATTTTCGCTAGGGAGATTTGCTACTCAATTATAACTCAAAAAAATATATTGATTGAAAAACGTGCCTACACTCCCCAAAATACCGAATAATGGCGAATAACGTTATAAATGGGCTATCCAAAAAAGCAGAGCGATATCGATAATATTAGTAGGAATTTTTCCTAACCAATGATTAATCCAAATACTAAATTGTAACTAATTTGATTGGATGGGTGTACCGTTTTATAGAGGCTACCATAAAAAATAGAACGATATCGATAATTTTTGGTTGGGATATTTGCTACCCAATGGGAATACAAAGTACTAAATTACAACAAATTCGGTTAAAATACGTGCCAAACTCCACATTTAATATGCGGTTACCGTAAAGTATTTCAGATTAGACGGCTTGATCTTGTTTTGCAGACCGATTGGGACTTGATCAGACATTCAGTGCGAACCACGGTTCACCTATACAGTTTAAAGCCAGTTCGACTGTGCTGGAATAAAAGAAACTCTTTTCGTGTCAGCGGGTCGTCATGTTAGCATATTTCCCAGTGTGCCGCAATGTATCCACAGATGCGTTGCAAGTGCTGCTTGACAATGTGCCGTTTGATTTGAAATGAGATGTGGGGAATGTTGTTTGCTTTGTTGAGCTGTTGCGTGGCAGGTTAGTATTCTTTTAATTTTTGTTTTGGTTTGGGATCAGCCCGATCTGAGCAGAGTTATTCCGTAACGCTGGTGCTGAGTGCCTCTGGATCGATAGATCTAGCTCAACGGTTGATGGCCCTCTGGAGAACTTCCAGGGTGTTGGGGATTCGCCGCTCACCAAGGAGGTGTTTTGTAAGCTGATGGGCGTTAATCCACATGTGGCTCAGCAACCGTTAGGTAGACCAAAACCGCCGTTCGAGTGAAAACCATTTATAAATTGTTCAAAAAACGATGGGTCCCATCTTCGGGTACGATCGAATTTTAGTAAAAGTATTTCGATTCACAAAATAGGGATCAAATCGGACATTCCATTCGTTTGATATTAAATTTAAAAATGTTCAAAATTTTGAAGGTATCAGAAGGAGTGGACCGATGGGTCCACATTATATAGGCTTGATAAAAGTATTACGTTGTGCAAAGTATGGATCAAATCGGTCATTTCATTCGCTTGGTGCTGACTCAACAAATTTCCAAAATATTAACACTGTGGGGGAGGTATCAGTATTTAAACTTAACCCATCCAGTCAGACAGACGGACGTACTAACTCCAAATTGTCTGAAACGGATTTGGTCCAAAGAAAAATGGGTTCTAAAACCAAAATTTCGATGAAGCACATTTTTGTTGAATTAAAGTGTATGTACCCTCATTAGCCATAAGTTTGTGGGTATAACAAGTAAAAACGTTATGTGTGCCTTCGACCATGAATTGCAGATACAAAACACCTAAAATTGGTTAGGATATGCAGTCATAACAACTTTATGGCTGATTATTTTCCCACGACACTTAATTATTTAAAATAGTACCAAAAAGATATAAAAAATAGTATTAGTTAAAAAATTTTACAGTTTTGTAAAAAAAAGTCAAATTCGCCGAATGTGCCCCAACCGGGGTAGCTTCGCCATTTGATGGGGCCATTCGACACCATAGTCATAGCCGGGTTATTGCCATCGCTATCAGTCTGGATAAAATTCTGATCCTCTAAAGGGTCTATTTGGTTTTAGTACGTCACACAACGTTTGAATTATAGGACTTTATTTTCTAGCGGCGGACGTTTACATCTCAAGGTCGCACACACCATCAGAAATAGGGGGTTTCTATCGCATTTTCGTCAATACAAGCACGTTTGATCTTATATATGTAATTTCTAACCATATTAAAGGATTAGTTTTAAAGACAAACTCAAAAACATTTTAAGGAAATAATATTGCACAATCTGTATATGGCCGAATGTGCCCCACTTTAAAATGCCGACTGTTCCCCGAATGTACTTTTTATAGTTTTTTTTCATTTTTTTAGCAGTTTTGTAAAAACATTATATTTTTATTTTTTTATAATAATACACATCGTAGTTAACCACTTTTTAATAATATTCTCTTAAAAATTTAAAAAGTTTTATACACGAAATACTTACGAAATGGAATTGAAATATTACAGAAACATCTATAAAAATACAAAAACCTATGTATCTAAATAAGCTTATTAGCTAGAAATTTCAAACTTTGTGTCAGTTATTTATTTCGATATTCGATGCCTATGTATCGAAACTAGTGATGTACGGTGAGAGCTTCATATCGAAAACGCGATTGCCGAAGGTGCCCCGATGCCGAAGGTGCCCAGTCTCCCCTACTTTCCAGCAAGTATTTTTTTTAATGCAAGTTTTTTTTTTTTAAATGCCTAGAAAGGAACTAACTATTGATGAGCGAAAATAATAATTAATAACCATGAAATGGGAAAATCCAATTCCGAAATAGGTAAAATGATAAACAGAACCAAATCAGTAGTCCAAAAAGTGGATAATCGATACAAAAAAGAAAATATAACTGAAAATAAACCGCGATCAGACCGTCCCAGGAAGCTCTACATAAGAGAAGAACGAAAAATGTAATATATTATTAAAGAAGATCCATTTACCAGCGCTCCTAAAATCGCTGCAGACTTAAAAGAATCATTTGGGAAAGCAGTTTCAGCAGGCACGGTATGTAGTTGCATAAAGAAGTGTGGATTCAATGTTCGTACTGTCCGCAAAAACCCACTTGTTAACAAGACAAACAGAAAGAAGCGTGTCGATTTTGCAAATGATTATAAAAACACGACAAATAAGTTCTGGGAAAAAGTTATTTTCTCGGACGAATCGAAATTTAACATAATTGGGTCTGACGGACGATCTTTGGTGTGGCAGAAAAAGGTGAAGAGCTCAATTCAAAGAATACTCGGAAAACAGTAGTAATGGGGGTGCAGTAATGGTATGGGATGCATCTCAGCAACTAGTGTGGCAATTTGGTATTCATTGAGGAAATAATGAATAATATTTTGAAACAAAATTTGAATCAAAGTGCTGAAAATCTCAACATTCGTGATAATTATTACTTCCAACAGGACAATGATCCAAAACACACTGCTATTAACGTTAAGAATTGGATACAATACATCACACATGCTGATAATACCTCCACAAAGCCCCGATTTAAATCCGATCATACAATTTCCAGTAAAGTCCAACTCAAAGAAATATTTCTGACAGAATGGGGTAAAATATCGTCGGACTACATTAAAAAAATGTATTCTCAATGCCCGAACGATTGAATGCAGTTTTACAACTCAAGAGATATCCAAATTTAATTTTAAAAATTAAGTAATATTAAATAATTGATTATTTTTCACCAGGGGTACCAAGACTTATACTGTGCAAAAATACAGACTTGACACTATGTCGATTTTGTTTTAATAAAAAAATGAAATATTACTTTAATTTGTTGTAGTATAGGATTGAATACATGAAATAAAAATATATATTTTAAATTTTGTGAATTACTTTTTGAGGAATTACTGAATATTTTTAGATTTGCTGCTCACTGTATAATAATCCAAAAGATCTTCTTTAGAATTTCCGTTTTTTTAAGTAGGGAACTTCGAAACGGATTACGCTCTTCTTGAATTCGACGAATTATACATTGCTTTTGTAATCTAACAGGTTCTTATCTAATTGTATTGGTATTCAACACGACACAGGGAACAACACCCCCACATAACGGTACTGCTGGTATTTTGTTTTTATAGCCATATTTTTCAACTAAATTGACTGTTATTTAGTTTTTGGCAGTTCTTAGTGGCTAAGAAACACCCTTGTAGATAATTGTCAATATCTGTAATCAAGGTCCTAATTTTCAATGTTCTAAAATGTTTGAACATATTCTTCAATTTTCAAATTAATTGTAATTTAACATGTTTTATGTTGATTGGGCGCCAATTCTACCTACTAAAAATATCAGTACCCTAAATTGAGGAAAAATTAATTAAAGAATTTAGGACTGTCATTGGAAGTTTTACACGTAGCTTCCAATAACATTCACTGATATTGTACTTAGTTTGTGAACAACAGCCTTCAAACACACATCTGCACAATTACAAGCCTTTAAAATAATACGTGTTCGTTTGTCAGCCGGTTGGAAATAATCGATGTGTGAAATTGAAAACGGGACAAGACCCCCTAATCTTTCCGAATCGATTGTGACTTTACAAATAAAAAAACCGAATATTGCAATCCAATACCCGAAATCCGAATACTCTCCTCACCACACTAACATTGCACATATCATACAGGTAGGGCATTAAATAGTTACTTAAACCAACCATACAAGCAATAAAAAAATAATTCACTTCCAATATACGCTTGTCCATTTTAAACGTTTTCTCTCA